AGCCGCGGCGGTTCACGGCGGAGGTCAGGTGCGCGGTAGATCCACAGCGGTTCACGTCGGAGGTCAGGTGCGCGGTAGATCCACGGCGGTTCACGTCGGAGGTCAGGTGCGCGGTAGACGTGTGCGAGAAGAGCAGTGGTTCACTCTTCCCCCTGCCATTGGTGTAGTCTGTTCGGGGACCACCCGGAGGCCAGGAGGAGGGCACGCGTGATGCCAGGTGCAGGTGGCGGTGGTCAGGTGGGGCTGGGAGCTGCTCATCAGCCAGCCGCTAGCTCGTCCCACGGGTGGGCATATGGGCCGCTGGCAGCGGCCTTCCCGGTCACCACCTCCTACAGGAGCGGAGCGTGACACCCCAGAGCGAGTGCCAGCTTCTCACGGGGTTTTGGGACCTGACTTAGGAGGACTAGCTGTGGAAATAGCAGTAGAGATTTTTTTTGGTGGGATATTTGTTTTGTTTTGCCAGAAATCATGTAACCCTAATGTCTTTTTAGCCAGCTTTATGGAGGTGTAATTTTTGTGTTATAAAACTGTAGCATCTTACCTATGCAGCTGGATGGGTTTGGGGAACACACGGAGCAGTGTGCCTGCTCTTTAATCAGGATCCATTATTTTTGCCTACGCGGCAGCTTCCTTGTCCCCGCTAGTCAGTACCTCCTTCCCCACCAGCAGCACGGTTTGTGGCTCCTACCACTGGGGCGACTCCATGTGGGGTGATTTGTCTTTTTGCCGCTCACGGGGCTATTACAGTGTAAAAGGCATGGTAAGTCTCTCTGGACCGAGCTGTTCAATCCGCAGAAAACCACCAGTGCTGTGCGAACGTGGAATGTCGTAATTGGTAGTTTATCACGTGGCGCGCTCGCGTTAGATGGCCTGTTCTGTTGAGAGGTTCTCCTGTGGGTAGCCTTTCTTGCCTTCCTCCGGTCAGGGACGCGTGTTGCTAGGACATGCTCCATGCTGTGGTGTTGTTTTTGAATCCTTTTCTGGGTCAGAAACGGGGAGCGTGGTTAGGTGTAGGCACTGGAGTCCTGCTGGTGCCATCCTGCTGTGCCAGCTGCCAGCCATGCACGGTGGGGTCACTCAGCCGCCCAAGCTCCACGGGGCCGGACACCGCCCACTGCGGCTCCATCACAGGTGTTTGCTGAGCACCTACTGCACACCAGTTCTTGCCGCGGGCGAGAGGGGCAGACACTTAGTAAGGAAGCCAGAGCTGTCTGATGTCTGTAGAGC